TTTGATTTAAACCACTCTATTTCACAAAATAATCTGTTGTCAAATTATTTTTAAAAATATTAGAGGTTTCAGGGTTTTAAATGAACACTTTTTTTATTTTGTTCAAACTAATAGTCATGGAAATAAAAATGCTATATAGAAAGTTAATTTCGTGTTCGGTTACATGTGTGAGCCGGCCGCATGCGGATTGAAATTCTAAAACAGTAGCGCTACATAGTCAATATAAATCTGTAAATCAATTTATCTATTGCGATGTGAATTATATCAATGGCACGATACTTTGAAAAAACCGAATTCATAAATCAGCTTGGATTACTCTATAAGTTATTGACTCAAAAATCTTTTTAATAAGTGGAGTTTTTCTTTCAAGGAACAGCTAAAAACTACTGATACAGACTGGGGACAATGAGATTCGGGCGAGTCAGCCGGATCAAAAGAGCATGTAAATCCGCAAATTACAATTTGAACAGAAAGAGTATGATTTTGATCCTACGTGACATTTCAACCACAAATAAAAAAATTTATATGATATATCTATCGTATTCGTAGGGATCCAGAATGGAAAATCCTAACCTTATTCGAAAAAGTATGGGTCTTATTCGAAAAAGTATGGGTCGACCCTCAGCCCATCCACCAACACGGCCATTTGGACGTGGGGTCAGCCTGTATCACAAATTTTTGGACAATTTCAATAAAATTTCTATTCGAACACCACCGATTTTGATAAGAATAAAACATTAACTTTAAATCAGTTAATAAGCCAACTCCCAAATTACTTCCTTTATAGGATTTATTAAAAGGTACATAAAATAAAAACCTGTAAAAAACCAAACAAATATGCATAGGCACAACAAAATTCTTGCTCTTCATTATGCCTATTGCATATGAAAAATCGAATAAAGGCATGTTTATGCACGGAAATGGTTTTTATTGTTCTCAATATGAAGTTTGAATACAAATAAAAAAGCTCAAATAACCTAATACATGTAAAAAGTATTTATCTTCTCAAGAAAAAAATAATGCACTTTAAGTGTGTTTGTATAAGTAAATCCCGTTCATACATTCTGAATGCCCGGATTGCATAAACTGTAATTGATACAGTCCTATCGATATACTGTATATGATATTACATTTTTTTCTATTTTTAACGTTAAAATTTTAAATTATTGCTATTTATAGACTTAAAAAGGGGAAGGAATCCTGAACAATGCATTCTCCCTTTGCCTATTATGTTTGCGCATCGTCCTGGAACACTTTACGAGAAAGCTAGTTAAGTAGTGGTCATCGTCGGCAGTGTCGCGCGACCTTTGTCTCCTAGCAGGCAGGCAAATTAATAATATCGGTATCATTTTGGTAACGTTGAATAATGCTATTAATCACGAGTTTTCATTTTAGTGTACATACCGAAGTGCAGATCCTATTGTAAACAATATAAATTCAATAGAATCTGCACGTCGGTATATCGAAAGTTGACTGTACTACGTATACGTATGTATTAAGAAAAACGTTTACAGAAAAAATAGTCTCAAAAGGAATTTACATAACGATAACGATAAATATTAAAAAAAACAAACAAGCAAAATACAAAGATCTGTGCTTCTTGACACCTTTTTGTGTTCATTATATTTACATGCATTTCACAATGGAAATTTCTGATCAACACGGGAAAAAGTTTCGCATTTATCGTTATACTATCATCATCATTCAAACGTGGAGAAAGAAATCTACAGTGCGTGTTCCATAAAGAACAAGTTGAATGGTTTTCATAATACTTATGATTCGTTACTTTGACTTTGAATATCTATATATAGTTACTGTCTATATACATTAGCATATATTCTAAAAAATGGAGATAGTACATAAACATACACACATACACAAACATACACACACATATAAAACACTTTCTTTGGTAAATTCGTCTCTTTAAAAAAAACACTAATGTCGGTCGTATCAAAGAAAGCATTAGTACCTGCGAGTCCTCCACAGAGTAAATTTAATTATCCATTGTTTGGGGACACTATAAAGATCGCTAAATCCGTCTGTCAATGGTCAAAAGGACTAGCGAAACAGGGAAAAGTTGTAAAGGCAAAAGTACGAGGACTCGATGGCACATTCAAGAAACAAAAAATTTATCATTTATCAGGGATCGAAGGAATGCAGGCATTTTATAATGAACAATATGTAATGCGAGGAAATGTGCCAACGTTTCTAGATCCTTATTTGCTTGATGGTTCAAGTACTCTGGGAAATATGATGAATGGTGAAGAGCATAGAAACAAAAAAGGTTTATTTCTTATAGGATGCTACGTTCCATTATTTGCCCATAAATAAATATTATATTGATTCTTTTTACAATTAATATTTTATAGAAATAATTTTAACTGCAATACATGATCCGGATCATTTAAAACATATTTTCAGCGTATTACGCAACGTAACACATTCTTTTCTTCAAGATTTACGAACAAAATCCAAAGTATATAAATACACGACATTTCACTTTGAACGATTATTACGTGACCTTATAGTCCGTCTAATAACACAATTCTTATGGACTCACGAAGACGACGATGATTTTATTGAGAAAATGATAAAAAATATTTCAAGTGAGCTTAAGGTTGCTAATCATTATTATAATTACAATAGCATTCAATCTTCGAATAGAACAAACAGATGATAAAGGAATCACATTTAAATGATAATAAGATGCTCAGCAACTAATTGTAAAAGTTCGTTTATCTGCTTATAAAAAGGGAATGACATTCTCAAAGAAACTACGCGACTTCTCACATCGACGTCTGGCTGAACATCGCTCAGATCCAGAAAAATATAACGACACAATGAAACATTTGATGACTGTTGAACCTCCATTAGCGAACGATGCAATTGTTATGGAAATTCAACATCTGGTATTTTCGTTGCATCGAATTGAATCTGCGATTTCTGCTGCGTTGATTTGTTTATTGAAACATAAGAAATCTGGTATTATTTCGTCTCTTATGATTCATGATTTATGATTTATGATTTATGATATAATTGATATAATATATTTCTAACAATTCGTTAAAAATATGTAGACATCTATTCGAATATCATGACGGAATTAGAAAAAAATCAGTCGTACATAAATTTAATGCGAGAAGATATGCGGATTAAAACACCAATCACTCTTGCACTTCCTAATTTGACTAATGTCATTAAAGAATCGCTACGAATATTTCCGGTTAATCCAGTTCAATTTGGTTGGTTCTTTGTTTCTTTAAAACAGTAATTTTAAGAAAATTATAATTTTTAACTTTTAATTGGTGAATTAATTGAATTTAATAGGAACTTCTATACAAGAATTTATAATTCAGGGATATCAAATTCCAAAAGGAAGAATAATTGTTGGTGGATTATGGGCAACAGGTTAGTCGTCGCAGTAAATTATTCTTTATCGTTATATGGTGTAATACATTAACTAATTAATTTTGTACTAGGGTTCGATCGGGATATATATGATGATCCTGAAGGATTTCACCCAAATCGATTTGAACATGAGATTTCTGAAGTGGAGACTGGATTTGAATGGACTCCATTTGGATGTGGTGAAACACATCGATGGTATGGAATAATTACTACGTACATTGAATTCAATTCTTAACGTTAAGTTTTAGTCACACTTATTTTTTTTTAAATTCGAAAGTGCTGGACAATCAATCGTCATAAGCATTTGTACATTTGTTGTCGCTCGTCTCCTATCAGCATTTGAGCTAGAATTGGTGGATCCGGAACAAGGATTCGTTTATCGCAAAGTTGTCCCTGTCCCTTCTAATGAGTTACCACTGCAAGTTAAAATTCGACCAGTTGAGAAAGTGGGACTTTGATCATATTATTTTAATAGAAATTTTATTTATGTGTATATTTAATTAAATATTTAATATATAGTATTAACGTTAGCATTACCCTTAATGATTTTATTATGGTGAATTTATTCATGTGAAAAACTTTTACTTTGTAAGTAATAACAAATTTAATAAAAAAATACGAATTTACGAGTAAGGTCATGTAATAAATGTATTGCGATTTAAGATTGTGTTTAAAAGAAGATATTGCGATAAAACGAAAAGCAAAGACTACCATTTTTTCATTCGAATTCATAAATAAAACAAGTTGGTACAATTTAGAATTAGACAAATACGTATTGTCAGATTGATGTTGGAAACTTTCAAAATACATGTATCAATTTTACATATGTTAAAGTAATATTGTCACGGGTGGATCGTGATTAGGGGTAATCGACGATTTTACCTGTAACAATAGTTTGGGGGGAGTGATTAGACTGGGTGGTATTCGTTCGTTTCTAATTCCTGTGCCGATATCTACGGATATCGTTCAGTATGACGGTAGAGAGGGGAGCTTGGATGAGTCGGTTTTTAGGTGAGATGGTTGGGTTTTAAGTTCTTATGTGTCAGGTTATTGATAATATTCTTTCTATTAACTTTCAATCGTTGCTTTTTCTAGCTAAAAGCCTTAAACTGTTCAATCATAAAGCGCTTTTTCTTAATCAATCAATCAATATACCGTTAACAATATCAATGCCTTTTCTGGATCAAAGGACCTAACCACAACCAATGACAACAATTTTATAGTTTAATTTACTTAAAGAAGAATTGTACGCAATTTAATTCTGTGTCTTTATTAACATCTGCGAGGACTATATATTGTTTCGGAACTTGTTGCATAATAGAGAATTTAAGATTGAAAAAGAAATAGAAAACAAGAGCAAGATCAAAAGCGAAATTAGAATAGAAAACAAAAGCGAAATTAGAATAGAAAACAAAAGCGAAATAAAAATAGAATTTTTAAAGCGAAATTAAACTAACGAAATCGGGCTAGGCGGATTTTACCAAAATTGAGAGATAGCGTTAGCTAAATAATTCTTAACCCGGTAATAATACATACGTATAAAGTCAAATTACTCCGATATTTCAAATAGATGTGACTTAGCAAAGGTTTTGGCAAGAGTTTCAATATACACTGTAGACTTCTCGAAGCGGAACACACCCTAAGACAAAACCTCTTCATATCGACAAATTTTGACTGCTCAAAACACATAGGTGTATATATAAAAAACATCGAAACCTCTATTAGAGTCCGAAACTGAGTCAGTCGACTTGAGGAGATTTACTGTGTACACGTATATAACGATAAAGTTCGAAACGGATTTTAGCAAGCAATTTTATAAATACTAGTATTCAATTAAAGCGCATTTGTATTAGTACTGCTGTAGTTATCTACAACAATATGCGCAACAATGTCATTATTTTTACTGTATTAGCATTCGTGAAAACTACGTACGTACATTTTTTGCTACCTTATATACTACGCCACTTTATCTTCATTGTCGTAATTGTCGATTCTGCGAGATTCATACGTATATTCGATGGCACATTATTCTGCTCGCTTCAGAACACAAGAACTTATAAAATTCTTTAACATGAGGTTTTTCTTGCAACCAAAGAACAGAGCCGTTTTTTGATACTTCGCTTATGGAAAATTTAACTTGATCACAGACGGCTTTACGATAAACCAAAAAAAAGGACAAGAGCTCGTCCGTATTTACTGAGCAAGTCTTTGGTAAAATTAGGAAGGAACGGAGGCCGATTGTTATCGTCCCTTCTTTAGTGGTGGTGAAATTAAGAGGGAACGTCAATGAAGAATCATTGTATATTGAAAAATAAAAATATCAGATTGATCAGACACTTAAGTCTGCAATTAATAGTCAAGAAGAGAAAAGATACAATTATGATTCAGGTTTCTGACGAAAGAAAGATGCACCAGCACAAACCATAAAAATACTACAACATCCAGTTAATCGACAATCAAATACTAACACTAAACCTGTTTCTATATTTTTCTAATTATTTTTATTACAGATTGATTGGCTATTGAAGACCGAAATTTACTTATGTACACGCCAATTATTGATTTGTCAAAAGTGACCTTATGTGATACTGTCACAAGTTAATACATGTATACGTAAAAACAACCAGTGTGTATTTGAACCGGTTCAAATCTATTCGCGTGACTATAGAATTTTGGACTTTGGATTAAAAGATAAATCATATGAAATTTGATAAATATATTGTTATTTATATATTAGATAGATATAAGTAGATTTATTATTTAGTTATACCTCGGTTGACTTCTCTGAGTACATTTATTGAGGAGGGGATACCTAACATAGTACCATGATTTTGGCTTAAATTACACTAAAATTCAGCCTGAATTTAACCTTATAAACTTTGATTTGCACCAACAGTGATATATGGTGTCTAACATCTAAAGCCATCAAACGTTTATATTTTATAAAATGAATAAACTTCTTTACTAAGAAGTAAATAAAAAATTAATCCGTGAATATGATAGAATAGGTCCTTTCTGAGCATATTCACAAATCAAATTTTGTATTTACTTCTTAGTAAAGAAGTTTATTCATTTTATAAAATACAAATGTTTGATGACTTTAGATGTTATCGTCATGCACCATAGTTCCAAACAACAACGTGATCGGAAAACGACTTTGAGGTTGTTATATCCAAATGTTAGTTTATCCAATACAATAACACTATATATTGAAGAAATTCTATATAGATGTCATATACAAGATATATATCATGACTACACTTACTTTAGTGTATGACTTTTCATTAACCTCTGGAGTAGTATAAGGAAGCACTCCGTAAATTTCTTGATTAGATTTTTTATATTTGCTGGACCAGTAAGTTCCAAATCGGCAATTCGAGCCTTCCTATTTATTAATCTATCTCCAGGGTGAAGGTTACGGTGCACAAATCTTTCTTTGTGAACTCCATACAATTCAGAGAATATCTTAACTTTTTGTTCCAAGTCAATTGTTAGAAACGTTATTCCGATAATAATTCAAACCAAAACTGCACTTTAGAGCAGTTGATATCTATTTGAAAAACTTGTTTATATTAAAAAAGTATCATGCTTACACCTTAGAAATTGTCTTGTTTTATAAACTCAGATGTAATTTGCTCTGAATTGAGTAATGATTCCAATACAACCTCTTGTTCTCCAGATCGTTTAAATATATTTTTTCATCTTTTAATGGTCCGTCTATATAAATCATTCCAAACCTCCTTTTGCAAGATATTCAACATTTGTAAATCTTTCAAAAGGATCCATTAAAAGATTCTCTAATTTCATGCATTCTTTTATTAGACTGTCGATATCTTTATTTACCATTCAGCATTATAAAGTTGATAGTAATAGTCAAAACATGCCCAGCAGTAATTATTTGCTTGACAACGAGTACATTTACTGCAATCATGAGTACTTTTAGTATTCGAAATGTTAGATCTCATCTTTAAGTCTACTGTAAAGGATGATTATGTGTTATTTAAATGATGGTAAAATATTAAAGTTAACTTTAATGTTAATTATTCCTTTATAGAACTTTTGCTTGTGTGTAAATAATAAAAGCACTTCTTTTCTTTTAAGACATCAATAGGTGTAATAATATGTTTGTTATCCTATTGTTTATTGTTTCCGTGAATCGATATTATTATTTTGCATTTGATTTTAATTTTTATAATTCGCCTTGCGTACCTATGACGAACAAAATTATAGTCCGACTACAAATGATTCTTTTTAACAGGCAATAATATTAACGAATAAAACATTATTAATAGTACATAGAATTTTTCTTTAATATAAATAGTCTAATGTATATGACGATAGTTTTATCAATTTTGCTTGGCCATAAAATCGTTCGTATCTAAATCGGAATGTGCACATGTATAATATTATACATGAATACGTACCAGTGCGGTGCTTATTTCTGAGTCTGGACGTATCTTTGCGATCTTCGCTGAAGCTCGCGCAGCCATCGAAAGATATGCAGCACAAACCAGTATCATTATAATTTTAGGAAAAACATTAAAGAATCCTGACAGCAGCGGTACAGGCACTTTTTTCTGTGAAAATATGCTGGGAAAAAAGATACGTACACCACCAAGCGCACCGGGTGTCCATTTGCTATTAGCATAAATTATCACAAGCACACTACATTCTTTTAATTAGAGAACAATTAGTTTATGTACGTTTGTATTTTATAAAATGTATAAATTTTTCAGCTAATAAGCCATAAATATGATAGAATAGGCCCTTTTTGATCATATTTCATTGTAGACTTCAATCTAATTTTATGTGAACTGAATTTGAAAGTATTGTAAGAATGCTTTTTGTGATCTCATCTTTCATTTAATCTTTGTGTCTTTCTAGTTAAAACACTCGTATTCTAAAGAACTATAATACTGAATATGCAAAGCATTCAGTTTATTATTATATGCTGGAAAGCTGAAAGAGTAGAAGTTCCTTGGCAGTTGTTCTGTTTTCTGGAATAGGAGCCCAAAAATTTTCGATAATAAATCCGCACCATCCGAGAACATTATAGGTCGTACTTCTTTATAGATATCATTTACAAGATACATATCATGACTCCGCTCACCAAATGGTCGTTTGCCTGTCACAATTTCGTCCATAACCATCCCAAAACTATGATCATCCGCGGCTTGAATGTACGGCTTTCCATTTAGTACCCCTGGACTAATATAAGAAAGTACTTCTCAAATTTTTTGATTAAATTTATTTAATTTTGCTATCCAAAATCGGCAATGAAAACAAAATCGCGAATTAATATATATTCAGAGTGGAAGTCACGATGCACATATCCCTCTGTGGGTTTATGCAGTTCTTCGGTAATATAAAATAAATGCCTTAATTTTTCTTCCAGTTTTTGTAATATATTTGCGAAGGTCGCCATCTGTATTCATTTGTAAATGAGTTCTTAGTTCTTGCTTACAACCCAGAAATTCAATTTACTTCGTTTAAATGTGTTTTTGTTTGAATCATATAATGATTTTAACACAACAACAGTGTTGTTGCTTTCAGATCATTTAAATTTATTTTCTTCGTGAACCTACGTGTATGCTAATGGTACGTACGTCCAACCAGGTTGCTTTATAGATTATCGCAAAACCTGGTAAATTTTTCAAAAGGAATCCATTCAGAAACCTTTGAACTTTCATGCATTCTTTTATTAGACGCTGTCCTATTTCCGTTTTATTACCACTAGGAAAATCTAAGTGGAAAGCGTGGAACGACCAAAACTTAAAGGTTTCCAAAGTGTTTTCTTCTGGTGGATCAGTTTCCGTAATAACACTTGTTTAATACAATTAGCTTTGATTACATATACTTAAAATCATAGCACCCATTTTTGCTTTTGGATTTTTTTCGACACAAAAAATTTGGATCTGCGTTCTTGATATGATTGGCTACTCGATATTGTTTTGAAACTTCTGATTGGTCGTCAGAACTCACTACGTACGTATAAAACCATTGGAAAACCATTACGTAAAGTTTGGTCGTTCCATCTAGAGGTTTCCACCAATATAGAACCTCTAGCGGAATTTCAGATTTCCCCTAGTAGTTTTCTAATAGTTTCCTAGTAATTCATTTGAATTTTAGCGAATATTTAATTTATTGCATGATTAATAATACCAATTTCGTGTTAATACTTTATTAAGTGAAATGTTAAAATTAAAAAAATTTAATATTATAAATTATTATCAAAAAAAAAATATAAATATATCTAAAATTCAATTCTGAGCATATTTACTTAATGGCTTAACCTAGATTTTTATAATAAAATTTGAGATATTAAGTGCACAAAAATAGGTACATGCACGGAAATACGTAGTCTACCTTATGCGCGGTTTCATATACAGTAATTTTACTGCAGAAATTGAAACAACCAACCAAATGTTCACACGATGTATATTTGTTAGTTAATTTGAATAATGCTTTGAGGCAAAAGAAGTAGTTCTTAATTTTTATTATTTACACGATCCCATTACACTTGTTTTTTGAGCCATAAAATATTCGATGCCGGAAATGTTCATCGAACTAAATACCCCAATTTAGCACGGTATGTTGGAACGCTTAATATCGAGATGGTCTGAAGCGTTTGAATTAACCGTGACGATAATAAATTTATATAAATTTAAATTCGATTATATATACTGGCGTATACAGTGACAACGGAACACTCAAAATAAACGATGAAGTTTAAATATCTCACGATGAAATCATCAGCGAATAAAGATAAGATTCAAGTTATAATTAATCGTAATGTAAAAATGATTTTCATCTAATTCTCAAGATAATTATTTTTTTCCGTTTAATGTGACCGGATTCGAACAAGGAACTCAAATAAAAATAAGTATAAATGCTCTATCATTCTCATTACACTATATCTATTCCAGACGATGATTTTAACTATTTTTTATTTCTTAATACCTCGAATTTTGCGCCCGGATATATACAGTTCGAGAAATCGCAGTATTGAAGCAAGTGGGGTTAGCTTCCGTCCATCGAATATACAAACAGAAAGAAGAAACCGGAAGTTTCAATGACAAGCCAAACCCGGTCGTCCACCAACTCTTTCGGAACGCTGCGAACGGAATGATATACGACCAATACATTCTGGAAATGCACCACCGCCGTTCAAGCTTCAAACTGAACTGGAGTTTCCTTGTCTGTAGAGATCATACGATGTATGTTCCGTAAATGGCTTATTCACAAGAATTAAGCGAACAAAGCCTCTATTCAAAAAGACGTCAACTTTTCGGTGTTCCGTTTCTTAAATTTTTGGTGTTTATCGTTAATCTTACTCAACACTCCAATTTCTGGCAACGCTCTTCTTTTCGAATATGGAACTGCGCCACTACTTTCTGCTTTCTATTTCCGTTTGAGAAGAAAATGGTAATTAATTAATGAAATTAATGAAAAAGAATATCAAATATGAGTTTACCTTCTTTTGGCACATACAAATTGAGCCTTGCAAAACCTAAATATTCAAAATAACTTTTATAAGTAATATGAAGTATCAATGTGATTATATTTAGAAATATAAAATGTACCTTTGTCATTTGGAATTGAAATCAGTTTTTTAGTAAAAACTCGACTGGTATAAATTGCATTTGGGTGAATGTTTTGTTTGTTGTTTATATTTGTAGGAATACTTTTTTGCAATTTCATCTCCTCATCGAATTTATCTAATCTCTGCTCTTCTAGTTTAAGACACTCAATTATCTCTTCACGTGATTTAGGATCGTCCAAAGAGCTATAGTGTTGAAAATGCAAAGTATTCAATTTCCACTCTTCTGGATCGTAGATAGAACTGACAAAGTCATAAAGTTCCGAGGCAGTTGGTCTTTTTTCTGGAATAGGATCACAACATTTTCCAATAATAAATTCGCACCATCCGGGAACATTATTTGGTATCTTAGGTCGTACTCCTTTATAGATGTCAATTACAAGATCCATATCATGACTTCGCTCACCGAATGGTCGTTCACCTGTCACAATCTCGTACATGACCATCCCAAAACTATAGACATCTGCAGCATGAGTGTATGGCCTGCCATTTAGCACCTCTGGACTAATATAAGGAAGTACTCCGTAAATTTCTTGATTAGTCTTATTTGAATTAGTCGGGCCGGTAAGTCTAAAATCGGCAATGAAAGCACTATAATATAATAATATGTTTCCAGGGTGAAAGTCACGATGCACAAATCCTTCTTGGCGAATTTTACGTAGATCTATGCTAATATCCCTTAAATATCCTAATTTTTCTTTCCAAGTCAATGCTTCGCTTTTAGAGTTTATGTATCTGCGTAGATCGCCATCTTCAGCATAATCCATCACTATCGAGTATTCATTTGTGGCTGGATTTTTAGTTATTCCATAATAATCGATTCTTGAAAATATACTGCATTTTAGAGCGGTCTGTATCTATTTTTGAGAAGTTTAATTGGATTAGAAAAACCAAAAAGTACTTGCTCACACCTTAGAAATCCATTTTTACCTCATCTATAAACTCCAAGGTAATTTGGTTTGAATCGCATAATGATTTCAACACGACAACAGTATTTTTTCCCGATCGTTTAAGTATATTTTCTTCTTGAACACATGCGTGTGTCAAAGGTCCGTCCAACCAGGTTGCTTTGTAAATTGTTCCAAAACCTCCTTTTGCAAGATATTTAACATCGGTAAATCTTTCAAAAGGGATCCATTCAAAAAATGTTTTAATTTTTGCGCATTCATTTATTAGATTTTCGACATTGCTGGGCCATTCAGTTTTATAAAATTGTTTGTGATAATCAAAACACACATCACAGAACAAATTCTTTTGACAAGGAATACAAACATTACAATGATGGGCATAGTGATATTTTAAACAGTAAGTATTTTCATAACAACGAGTACATCTACTACTATCATGAGTATTCGAGCCTTGGATAAAAGTTCTCCTGATAATTTTGAATATCCTTTTGAGTTTCATTTTATCGGTATGAATATGATTATAATGATATAGGATTTTTGTTAAAAAGTTAATATAAGAACTGTTGAAATAACGGCGAAATAAACGACTTATATATACAATTCTTCTACCGATTGTCTGTTTCTTTGTTTCTTGTTGTATTTAAAACTTTGAAACGCAGTAAAACAATGAGATACGGATAATGATATTCATTCAGTACATATATTGAATCCTAATTATAAACTTCATGTGGATAATAGAGGTGCAGACATTAGAACATGAATAAACTTAGGCCATGACGTAATCAGGTTGCAACTACACTTGTGTTTGTATCTTTTGTTACATATATTGAATCCTAATTATAAACTTCCTTATTTTTTTTATAAAAATGGATCATCTGTCTATCGCTATGGTAACTATACACATTCTATTTATAAATCATTTGTGTCCCTTTTCTAAGGTTAACAATGATGATGATTTTCTTATCGTTATTATAAAAACCAGTTTTAGATATTAACGTAAACGTTAAAATAAAAACTGGTTTTCCAATCCTATCTATTTTTATATTTATTGTTAAAATGTCATCATTTTGTATGAACAAAGTTTGGACAAATGCCGCTACCACTACATACTTACATTTTTGTACAACAATAGACAAAGCTATTTTTTTCCATAGTGGCTAATTATTATCCTATTAAACATTGTTTTCGTTTTTCATTGTTGTATTTTAATTAAAAGTTAATAATTAAATGAAGCATACGTACTTTGTAACAATTGACTACAGCATATAAAATACATGTAATACTGAATTTCTTTAATAAGCATTTAATCTCAATCACTAACGCTAACAAACGAAAAGTAAAGCATTAGTCGTGTTCTTTGGATACTCTGCGACATTTTTCAAGACGCCTTTTGTGGCCATATCCTTAATAGTTTGCTGCATTTCCGCGGGCGATTTATTACCATATTGACTAATCAATAGAGCGACAACGCCAGCGACGTGTGGCGCAGCCATACTAGTGCCGGACATTGATCGTACAGGCATTTCTTCGACTTTATTCCATGCAGATTTTATATTTTGACCTTTGAAAATAAGAGTCATATTTTAGATATAAATATATATGTAAAAAAATGTGCTTGATTGTTTAATTGTATGTTTATTACCTGGGGCGAAAACATCTACACAACTACCACCATTAGAAAATTGCGCAATGTGATCGGTGATATTTGTCGCGCCTACTGTAATTGCTTCCGGCGCTGAAGCTGGAGAAAAATAACACGCATTTGCTTTTACATAGTTTCCAGCTGCGACTACAACATGTATGCCTAATTCTGCTAATGCCTTTACTGCTTGATTGGCAGGTAGGAAGTAGTTTCCTGTCAATGAAAGACTAAAATAAAAGATAGAGAAGTTATTCTATCAAGTATCAAAACAGAGGTAGAACTTTAATAGAAGATGAAATCTTTCAAAATTTACTTGACAACTGTTTTTTGCGTTTTATCGTTTTTGTGTCTTTCTGCAATCCAATCCATCGCTGCAATCACGTCGCTCCATGCTCCGTTACCAGTATGTGAGAGAGCTTTCACTGCAATTACGGTTGCAATTTTTGCTACTCCGTGTACTTTTCCTATACGTAGTTGGTAAAGAAAAGGAAAAGATAAATATAATTTTTTAAAAATGAGATTAAACAATCTAATATACCTGCTATGACTCCAGCTACGTGGGTGCCGTGGCTATTGCATTAAAAACTTATTTAGTAATAAAATATTATAATGAAATTTAAAGAAAATCAAACCATTACCCGTAATCATCGAAATCATGGGCACCTTTGCGAGTTGTTGTACCCCAGACTGCGCGTCCTTCAAAGTCTGGATTGAGTGTGTTTATTCCTCTGGTTTTCGAAAAATTTTAAATAACAATAAAAGGACATTTTTGACAAAAAATAATTTCAATTCACTCACGTATCAATCACATAAACTTTTACTCTACGACCACCAGTCACTGGAGATGCATAAATATTATCAAGTGGCAGATTACGCTGATCAACTCGATCCAAGTTCTAAGCGAATGATAAATTAATGTATCTATACTAGATGATAAAAGTTAATAAGAATTATCAAACATTTACCCAAGGAGCATTCTCTTGAGTTCGAGTGCCAAATCCCTCTTTCGTGTCGCCATCATTTTTTTCACTGAAGCATACATAATCGTCATTTTCTAAGGCGACATGAACTTGATCATCTTTCGTAACATACGCGACTTCTTCGCGTTGATTTAGTATTTTAACGAATTCAGGAGCGAATTCACCAATATAACCGCGAAAATTATCGCCAATAGAAAAATAATGAATTTGATTATTGTCCGATTTTTGTGTTGAATTGGTCGATTTGACGAAATTATTGCTTCGTCTGACTTGATGATTCACTGTATTGCTTTGGATTACATGTTTATTATATTTTTTAGTGATCCATGCAAAGTGTAATTCGTGATTTTGCAATGGTTCTGGAGATGAGTAATTATTATTGAAAACTATAATATAGCGTTGTTTATTTGAGTTAATTGAGGTGGTTGGTGAGGAATTCACAAAGTAAGGGAGTATCAAAGATAGTAACAAAGTGAAGACAAGGATCTCAAAATTATTTTGATTATCAGTTCTCATGTTTAATTTGAGAATGAATGGAGAATAGGGTGTCAATTGTTTTCAGAAGATTATAGAGAGATTATGCTTACAGTGCTCTTGTTAAATCAAAATTCTATTTCATATATTTAGCTTTTTCTTTAATTCAAATTTGCATTTACGATTTGAGATGAAGTCATTTTGATTAAAGATTAATTTGCGATTGATTTCATCTAAAATATATTAAAGCATAATTTAATTAACTTGTATTTTTTATTTTATTTATCGGTTCTTAGTTGAAACATTGGCTTTTTAATAATTCATTTTTTTTTAAAAAAAACTATAGGAATCTGTTTTATCAACAATATAACAAATACAAAATGACGAGTATCCTATATTAATCGATATTTCAATCAAATGTATTATAGGTTGAACATAAAAAACTAAATACATAATGGACAAACAATATATATAAGTTATATTGTGAAATTCGTGTATTTCAAGTATTACATTTAGTTATATCCAAATTTTTGGAATTCAAAGATTTTTTGTCAGAATAATTAATTGCTAAAAATTTGTCGTTTTTATTCAGTATTTATAACCTGGATCTTTGCCAAAATCTGAAATATAAATACAGGAAATTTTATATCTAGACCGGCAAAGATCCAGAATTTTGTCCAGAAAAGTTTAAGCATTTTTTATTTATACAAAAATACAAATACACTTTTTTAGATTTAATCTGAGATATTTTTTTGCAATTAGAATAACTTTCTCAGACTAAATCTAAAAATTCCGAAAAAAATAAAATGTGAATTATTATTTGTATATTTGCATAAAAATATGATTAATAAAATTGAAAACTTTATATAGAAAAAAACTCACATTCGATTATATTTTATTAATAAATTTAACGCTGTTGCATTTTCAAAATAAATACGTACTTTTTGATAAATCGAACAATAATAATATTTACATCAAAATACAGTATACATAACGATACATACACACGTAGTCAACCGAAGCAGTACGTAATTATAACACACATAAACAGAATTTGGTTCCAGGAACAGATGCACCGATAAAAACTGGTTTTTGCAAAATAAATTTTGGTAAACTGAATTTCTGACCACTTCAGTTTAACAGGGTTGACTGTGTGTTATGTAAAATAAGTTGTGTTTATTGCTTCAAAGCTTAGTAAAAAAAAAACTGAGTAAGGAACATTGTCTAATAGTTGGCATTCTTGCTCTGAAAATTTATAAAGATAAAATACAATGAAATATTAAAAATACATGTATAATGAGATCAACTACGTATACGTAACGTTAATACGTAATGAGAAACAGTTTGCAACATATTTCAATATTTCTATTTCAAAATTCTCGCTAAATAAAAATTTGTTATATTACGTAAATATTTGAAATTCAATTTCAATATGATTTATTTGGAAATCTTGTTATAATAAATTTTTAAAAAATTTTTAATCTGCATTTCATGTTTTGTAGAATAGATCAAATTCTATTCGATTTACTTTAATCTTTAGAATATCAGAATTGTCTTCTTTTTATATTAAATAATCTCCAAAAAAAATAATACATGTGATTTTATACTAAAAAAAAATTCTCGAAAAGATACAGATAATTGCCTATTTACATACAGTAGAATATTTTCAAAAATAATAATCGAGTCTAGTTGACAAAAAAATCGAGTTAAAATTCTTTATCGAAATGAAACCAGAGCAACACCCACAGACATTTAGCGCACGTAGCGCAAGCTGCTGCTAAAAGGGAGCTTGTAATGAAATAGCACTGTGTACCAATTGCACATTCCGACTCCAAAAATATCAAAACATACGCTACTAGCGCAAGTGCAGAGTTCAGAAACGTATATATATCCCACATGGAAGCACTTCGATATTCTTCTATGAAATTTACTAAATCTTCTTTCCCTAATTTCAAACTACCGTCATTTTTTTTAAATATCTTGTATATAACGGGGGTCAAGGAAATTTAAACTGCTTACCGATGAAAAATAAAAGCGAAAAAAATAATCCCCATTGAAAACCGTCGTCGATTGTTCCAATATATAATGCATAACCGCCAACCGAAATTCGTAGAGCAATATCAAAACAAAGAAACATGTACAAAAATACTTTGGCCGGAATCTATTTTTGTCAAATGAAATTTTTGAGTTTAAAATATTAGTTTATAGAAAAAAGCTCATGAAAAATCATGCATTAATTGCATTATGGAACTTACTATTATATATCCATGTTTTACTAACATAAATATGGAACCACCCGCCAAATGTAACGATATGAGAGTCGAAAAAGCAAAAACAGTTTTAATCACTAATTTTTCAATCGTCTCAACAATTGGATTCGGAGGTAATGCTGTCAATATGTATGGTTTTTGTATCGTCAAATCAAACCGATCAATCCCAATGGCCACTCCCTTCACGGAATCGATATCTGTTGTTCTAATTCTTTATGAATATTTTTTTATACGTATAAATCAGATTTGTGCAATAATTTAATTTTTTATCTACCCATTTTCAACTACATGAACAATCTGTCCATCGTCATCACCAAAATCCATCAGTCCACGTTTTTTGAATCAAAAATAAATAAATTCACTAAACTATTGTACTTAAATAAATGTAATGCAAAATACCAGAATAATAGTTGGCGGTTCTCACATCTTATACATATAATAGTTGATAATGATTGAAGAATGTTAATTTTCTTTATTTAGAATATAATACAAACAAAATTCTAATGATTTACATTTCATCGCTATTTTAGGAAGTTTGTAACAGTTCGGGTTACATCCTAACAGGTTAAAAATTCTTAACCGGATAACGATAAAAATAACCAAATACATGTAGAATGATCATTTCGTGCTCTATACATGTATATCGCTATATTTATATATCCGTGTTTAGAAACGGTTTAACCGTATAAGAAAACTTTAACTGGTTAACCCTAGGATTGATGTAAATTACATCAATCCACTAATTATCGTTATCGTTATTTCCATTTGGCAACGACGTAAACTACGTAGTCAATCAAAAGTATGCGTCGTCGTAATTCGCGTCGTCAATTGAAGATTGCTGATTACATAAGCCAAAAGATGACACCGTTATAGTGATACTGCAATTACATGTATCTGAGTATGGTGTCCAGCTTACTGCACAAAAATACAGAATACATGTACGTATACATGTACTACATTAGTACCCTAGCCATGGCAAAAAAGGGTCTGATCATGCGATATTTATGTATGTCCGGAAAAATTCTACGATATGCTTAAAGATTAATTTAAAGTTTAGGATTAGGGTTCTGAAATCAAGGTTTTATGTAAAATTGTCTTCCCGACTCTTTTTTAGTGTACCAAGCTGGATTTAGGCATCTGTTTCCCGTATTTTTACTTTTTTGCTTTTTTCATTTTCTTGCTTCGGATTTGTTTTGCCAGGCAAATTCTGCCCATATACATGTATACCGATACGGTACAGTGTTTTTAAATTTTCAAAATTTAATTTATTAAGTGAACTTTATTATAAAGAGAATCAATTATATGCGTCCCAAGACGATTTTTAAAACATATATTAGAAAGAAAAACAAACGTCAAGTTTATAATAAGAAGACGCAATTGTTTAATACGCTTTGAAAATATTGACTTGATTTTCTTTACCTTATAAAAATAAAAGATTAGACAATATTGACTTAAATAACGGAAAACGGAATATTTGAAACTTGAATTTCATATTTTAATTGCGAACCTATAATATGTTGCTTGTTCGCACAATCAAAGAATAAATCACAGGGAGTTCATTGTATTTAGTTATTAGAACTGTTTTAATTGATAGTATCGGTATGGTGCATAACATCTAAAGTCATCAATCGTTTATATTTTATAAAATGTATAAACTTCTCAATTAAGAAGTCAATACAAAATTTAATCCGTGAACATGATCAAAAGGGCCTATTCTATCATATTCACGGTTTAAATTTTTGATTTACTTCTTAGTTGAGAAGTTTATACATTTTATAAAATACAAACGTTTGATGACGCACCATAAATAAGTCTGTTTGCTATTGTGGAGCGATAAAGAATTATTAGAGTCTTATAAAATATTCTCTAGTCAAATCGACCATATTTTTCTTTGATTTAACAAGAGTTGACTATGTATCTTTAAATAAATAAATAAATAAATATAATATAGGTTAACAATCACATATTTTATCTATGTTATACCTATTTAATTAAAGCACATAGTTAACTCCCATTAAATTAAAGAAAACTATAGTTGGTTTAACGAGAATTAAAGCTCTGTTTGGGTCGGGCCGGATCAGGTTTGAGGTCAACCCGAACCGATAATTTCGGATCGGTTTGATCCAAAAATTGCAAAATAGTTTTTAGTTAATAACTTTTATTTTTACTAAGACACTTGTATTTGGTGTCTAAGTAGAGTTGTTCGGAATGTAATTTTGTATATACCCACAAATTTTTGTTTAATATTGAACGAAAAATAACGATTTTTAGGCTGACCCGAAATGTGCGTTCCGGGTCGGATCACGGATCGGACCCGACCCGGTTGGAGCACTAACGAGAAGTGACTGTAAAATGTACTTAAAACTTTTGTTATAAATTTTTTGCTTTTTACTTAAAAAATAATTCCAAAAAATAAGTGGTTTAAAATTTTAATAAAAATGAATTGCTTTAAATATTTCTAACTATCATTTTTTTATCTTATGAAAAACAATTTTATTTAAGAGAGCTTGAGCAAAAATTGCTCAAATAAGGCGATACCAAGTTAAATTTATTGGTTTTCATAACCAGGCCGGATCATAAACCGGTTATGAAAGTTAACGTTATAATTTTGAAACGTAGTATGATATTGTCTTGCATCAAACAAGTATAAAAATCGATTTTTTATAATAAAAAGCCGGGTATCATCGCTATGAGTTTACTTAGTGTCTCATAATTGATTATACATGTACATTCCGAAAAAAAATACAGAGAGCGATCAAAATAAAATAGCACAAATCCAATAAGAAAATTTTATTTCATGTATTAATATTTTATTTTTGTTGACAATTTCTTTAATCTTTAGTTCGACCACCATAGCAAGAATAACAGTCTGAATTCGATTAGGCATATTTTCGATCAATCATTCCAAGCATTTTAACATAACGTTCAAGTTCTGACAAACTTGATAGAGGTGGAGTTCGTCGATGTACCATGATTTTATCTCATCCTAAAGTTTTTTAATAGGATTTAAATCAGAGCTTTTGCGCTGGCCAACACAAAACTGAAATTTCTATATTTTACGAGCAGCTTTGAGCGATTGTCTTCTTGAAAGATGCAATTTCCATGAGGAAAATACTTTTGCAAACATGGTTTAACAAATTTTTAATTATAGTGGCATGCACTTTAATAACAGTTACAGATTTTTTGCATTGGTACAATTGGTTCCAATCCATACCAAGAAAAACACACCAAACTAAAGATGGTTGTCTAAATTATTTTTGAAAAAATGGTATGCTTGTTTTAGTTTGTAGATCCAAATAATTTCGAAAAACAATTTCAGTCACTAATATAATAAGTCAAAATAATTTCAGATTTAATTTTGGCAAGTTAATTTCAGCAAGTTAATTTCAGCAAATTATTTAATTAGATGATGTCATTTTGTAGACTATCCTTACACCAAACTATTATGTTTGGACTGTGTTTACAGTAACAGAAATTCAATTTTCATCCAATTCTTCATCTGGTTCACAACATACCAATCCTTGTAATCCTTTTTTAAATTGAATAAAGTGCTTTCGTCGAAAAAGCACATTTTTCCATTGTAATGTTGTCCAGTTTTGATGTTTAAGAGCCTAATGCAGTTGCACTTGATAGTGTTATTCTGGAATTGCAGATTTACGACATAGAATGCAGGCACTAAACCAATTTTTTTGAGATATCGATGAATGACAACAGGTGCAATTGATTTTTGACCAACTTTTAACATTTAACTATAGTAAGATGTCAATTTCTTTATTCTCCTTTACAAATTTCTTAAAATTTGATGATCCAAAATTGGTTAATGTTCAGTTTGTTTTTTTTTAGAGAAGAACCAATATTACAGAGATGTTCAATACTAGATAAACTGCAATTTTGCTGCATTCAAGATTATTAGCAATTGTACAATAAGACTGACCACAATTGCGAAATAAATAATGGCACCACATTTTTTTAATGAACTAACAAATTTATAAAAAACTAATCGATATATCTATATCCATATTTCTCTTTAAAAAACGCGAAAAGTGAAACGCAAAATATCTTATTTAGGCGTCCACATAATTTTGATCACCCTAAAAAAATTCCTAAATATATCTCTCTTGGGACCAGCCATAAACATGTATTTATGAAGTGTGCACATTTTAAAAAAAGGATTCTATTATATAATCAAATTAATTATCAATATTATTATGAAATTATTAAAATCTTATTGATCAAAGTAATATTCTATATTGCAATGAACAAAATCATTAATATCATAGCAACCAGGATTTTATAACACTTATATAGTTCTTATCAAATATCACAGAAAGAGAATATTTAACTATAGTGGAACCAGAAATTTATTATACGTATAGAATATACGTAGAGGATGACATGCCCTTATTTTTCACTGTGATACAAGCTCGAAATGGATATTCCGGATAGTACAAGCCAATAAGGGAGTGAAACAAATCTTACACAAGAAAATAAAATGTGAAAAAATAGAAAAGAGATATCAAATCTAGCTTGGAATACTAATAAAACTTGTTGGAAAGTCATTCCAACCCTTATCTTGATCCAAAGGTTCTTATATGTACTTTGTATCACACACTAATCAAATTGTTGTATTTTTGGATGTCCTTGGACGTGTAGCATTGACAGAGGGTGTGCATTTAGCACTATTTTCTGAGTTCGGAGCTGAGTCAAAGAGTGAGTGTATTCGAGTGAATGTGCACTTATAGAGGATGCACTTAGAGAGATTTCTCTGTACGTTTTATATAATACATTCATTTTTTTGGTTTTACAGGATTGATTTCTTTTGAAATTAATGATAGAATCCAAATTCGGTCAATAAAAGCAAAATTGTAATATACCGTGAATAAGCAATCCCTACGTCATCAATTTTGGGTCGATTTTTTTAGGGGGTTGCGTATTTACGGGACTTTCTGAACACTTAATGCCTATTGGCCCAACGGTTAAATTATTCACTGCGCATATATCTATTACGGGTTTCGATCGTGTCGCTAATTTATTGATCATCTGGTTTAACCATTTCATTGTTACTAAACATTTATTAAAGCTGGTAATTCCAATCGCCATGAATGTGGCGAAGTAGTTACACACAACGCATCCCGACGTCTCAAATTTGATCAACGATAAATTTTCCAATATCCCCATTAGTGAAGATGAAATTGATAATTTAAATGAGATAGTAAGTGAAGATGATATTTCTGCTGAAGAATTAGAATTAGATGAATGAATATATAATAGTTTTTTATTTTGGTATATAAAAAGGGGTTGCTTATTCACGGGACTTTACGGTATAAGGATATTTACTTTAAATTTCTTTTATTAATGAAAAGCTCATATCAATATGAAATAGCGATAATTATAATAGTCATCTTTTTATTTATAAAGCATTGTCCAAACTACTAAAGATTATGGTGTCAAATAATTACGTATTGAGACATATAGATAATAGATTAGAGTATGAATGTAAATCAGTTGGCTAGGATTGTTATAATTATAAAGATTTTTTCATATGATTTTTGATGAATATTAAATTTTATGTATAGTTCGTTGTAGAAACATAGTTATTTTATATAACAACTGTGCATTTAATATAACATGTGATCATTATATGTTGAAATCTATATGTAATTAATATAAAGGGTAATTAAATAAAATGTATTGTAATAATGTGCTAAGATTATATTACATTATTTTTTTATGTTATATAGTGATTTTTACTGTACAAATACAAATAACAAAAATAAATTTTAGAAAAAATATGAATAAAATAAATACTTGTAAATTTTATGACATATACTATGTTAATAAACAACGTTGCCATCGTACAAAACACAATTAACATTGACTTCTATTAGAAATAGCAAATTAAAAAATCGAATTATTTAGAGTAAAAGTAGCTACTATTTCTTAATTTCATTGGATTATTTCATCATGAATTTGTAGTTTTTCTTGTCTCGATAGCTCTTCATCACTTTGACTTCATATTATATCGTTTTCTTTAATTTCGTATGGTATACTTAAATCGAAATCTGTTTGGCACCAAAAAAAGTAATTAATTAAATAAATTAATGAAAAAATATTATTAACTGCAGGTATACCTTCGTTTGGAACATATAGACTAACATTTGTAGAACCTAAATATTCAAAATAATTTTAATTAAAATAAAAATTCAATATGATTTATATTTAGAAATAAAAGTACCTGTGTTTTTTGAAATCGAAATTAATTTTGTAGTAAAGATTCGACTGGTATAAATTGCATTTGAATGAATTTGTTGTTTTTTGTTTATATTTCTAGAAATGTTTTTTTGATATTTCATCTCATCAAGTTCCTTTAATTTTTGCCTTTCTAGTTTAAGACAATCCTTAATTTCCTCACTTGTTTTAGGATATTCTAAAGAGCTGTAGTACTGAAAATGCAAAGTATTCAGTATTTTGTTGTCTGCTGAATATTCGATGGAATAGATAAAGTCATAAAGTTCCCTAGCAGTTGGTCTGTTTTCTGGGATAGGATCCCAACATTTTTTAATAATAAATTTGCACCATTCGAGAACGTTATTTGGTATCTTAGGTCGTATTCCTTGATAAATGTCGTATACAAGATAAATATCATGACTCCGCTCACCAAATGGTCGTTCACCTGTTACAATCTCGTATATAATCATACCAAAACTATAAATATCTGCAGCTTTAGTGTATGGCTTTCCATTTAGCACTTCTGGACTAATATAAGGAAGAACGCCATAAATTTCTTGATTAGATTTTTTTATATCTGCTGGGCCGGTAAGTCCAAAGTCAGAAATTATAGCTTTAATACCCGATATTAATATATTTCCAGGATGAAAGTCACGATGCACAAATCCCTCTTGGTGAATTTTACATAGATTATAGATAATCGAAGATAAATGTCTTAATTTTTCATTCCAATTCAATTTTTCGTAATTGGAATTAATATATTTGCGTAGATCTCCATCTTTGACATAATCCATTACTATCGAGTATTCGTTTGTAGTCGAGTTTTTAGTTATTCCATAATATTTTAAATAATCATTTTTGCATTTTAATGAAGTCTGAATCTATTTTTTAAAATTTTATTTGTATTAGGAAACAAATAAGTATCTGCTTACGTTTAGAAATAGTTCATTCTTACCTCGTTTATAAACTCTAATGTAATCCTCTTTGAATCACATAATGACTTCAAGACGGCAACATGGTATCTTTCAGATCGTTTAAATTTATTTTCTTCATGATCCCATTCGTAAGGGTAACGTAATGGTCCGTCCGACCAGGTTGCTTTATAAATAATCCCAAAACCTCCTTTTGCAAGAAATTTAACGTTGGTAAATCTTTCAAAAGGGATCCATTCAAAAGAAAAACTTGCAAGATCAAGGTCAAGTCTTTTAATTTCCGAGCATTCTTTTATTAGACTGTCAATATCTTCGTTTTCGCTTGACCATTCATCTTTATAAAGTTGATAGTGATATTCTGAACATCCAAAACAGTACTTATTTTCTTGACAGCGAGCACATTTACTACAATCGTGTGTGTCGTGGTCGTTTTCTTGACAATCAATACATTTACTACAACGACAATTTGAACGTCCAAAACAGTACTTATTTTCTTGACAATCGAGACATTTATTACAGTCATGAGTATTGTGTTCTGAAAATTCTCTGCAGTAATAGTTTTCTTGACAATTGAAACATTGACTACAATCATGAGTATTGCGATCATTTTCTTGAAAATCAGTATGTTCAAAACAGTACTTATTTTCTTGACAACGAACACATTTGCTATGATCATGAGTATTGTAATCTGAACACTCATTGCAATTATCCCATTCTTGACATTCACTACAATCATGAGTATTGTGATCTGTATACTCATCGTAATAATCTGATTCTTGACAATCGAAACATCTATTACAATCGTGAGTATTGTGGTCTGAATACTCATCGCAATAATCCCATTCTTGACAATCGAAACAATCATGAATATTGCGATTGTTTTCTTGAAGCTCAGTACATTTACTACAATAACAAATTGAACGTCCAAAACAGTACTTATTTTCTTGACAACGAGCACATTTGCTAC